TCCAGAGAACAGGCCTTGGAAAAGCAGTCTGTGGTCATCATGTGGCCTAAGTCCTGTTTTATCCTTCTGCCTTTGCTGTTCCACAGTCCACTCCACTCTTTCTTGGCCTCAATCTTTTACTAAATTCCTGAGCTGAAGAGGCTCCTGGCTCCAGCAGCAGCTGGCTGTATTTATTGTGTTGTGATTTTTAACATTCTGTGACTTCATGCTAGAAACAGATTTTTTTTAATGGTTTTTAGAGCCTTTTTTGTAGGAACGTCCAACCTGAAGCCATCTCTGAATTGGCCATGTTACACCTCTGAATGTCAGTAAAGATATTTCAGTTCTACATGCAAGGAGTCGTGGCTGTCTCTTCTGTCTAGGCTTTATCTGCGTCTCAGCTCCCAGTCAGTACTGAGGACTCCATGTGGTACCTGAGTGTTTCTCCTCTCCTATTACACTTCAATTTCTTTTTATTTCAGTGGCCAAAATGTCAGTGGGTGAAATGATAGACTCTGATCTAGGCTGTACCAAAGAGAGTACAGCTTGGATCAGAGTCTATCAGGAGCTGTATTTGTGTGAAGTCTAGCTCAGAGACATGTGAAATGAACTGCTGACATACCTCAGTAGGGGGAGAGGCACAGCATATGTGAGCTTTGCACACTAGGGGTTGAAGTCAGAATGCAAGGAACAGAAGCTAGAATTCTGGCACACATTCAGCTGCTTCAATTCTAGTGCAAAAATTAAATGCAAAGCATTGCTTGCAGCACTTATTACTACCCCTTCATATGGAGCTATGGCAGCTAACCTCAGCTGGGACATGATGGTCTAACCAGTGTTACACAGGAGTTCAGCATAGAGAAAAAGAGGCCCCACCAGAGTTTAAAAGCTGAGAAATAAGGTAGTAAATGGGGACAATATGCCGTTTGTGTGAATTACTAAGGCAGCATGGGAACTTCCTAAGGTTTTGCCTTTGCAGTTAAAATTATTGTGGCCCTTGCCTGTCCACTAAATAGTTAAAGTAGTAAGTGATGTAGATGTTAGATTAAACAATAAGGCTTGCCATGCTTACTTGTGCCCAAACCTTAGAATATGAGAGAGTTTGCAAGCCTTGTGCATTCTTGCAACATCTAGATTTGTGTATTAATTGCATTCAACAGTTAATTCATTTACTACCTGATGGGCAGAGATGAGGTGGGATAGCTATCTGAGCTAGTTGCAAGTTAGATTTTGAAATATTTTGGAAGCTCATGCTTTAATGGGCCTGTAGCTTTACTTCCAACTTACCTTGAGGAAAGTACCATGTTACATTTAATAGTCCTGGCCCAGAATTGAAAAGAATAAAGGCTTATATTATGGGAAAGGAGCATCTTTTATCCTTTTCCAAAGCCCTGCATTTTGCTGACTTTGAAGATCCAAGGTACCATTTACTTTTTAAGTGTACTTTACAGACTGTCTGCTTAGTTGATTTCACTGCTGGTCAGACACTTCCACCAAGGCTTTTTTGTTATCAGAGGTATTATTGTTTCAAAAGTGGTTTAAAATAAAGATGGGTTGAGTCCTAGCTTTTAAGTAGAAGGGTCCATCCAGTCAAGTAAGGTTCTCTCTCCTGTAGTAAAACAAGGCACCTTTATCAATAAAGTCTCTCATAATGGAAGAAACTTGACCCCAGCCCCACACTACCATGCATTATATACATTTTTTTGTGTATCAATGCAAGTTTCATTGTGGGGGATTGACTTTGATGTAGTAGTATTGCTGCCAAACAGATGGCAGTAAAGTAGGGCCCAGAATAGTTTAATTGTAGCAAAGAGTCATGAACCTTTGTTAGTGGGATCTACTTTGGGTCTGGGTAATGTTGGGCCACAAATCGCTTCCATGGGGAGGGAGTCTGAGACTCATATTTTCCCACTCTGGTACAAACTTTCTGAATGCATGAGGAACAGTCACTTGTGACACTGGAAAGTTTGTGGACACTAGGTGCCATTTGGGAGCTACCAACATGAGCATGATCTGGCCTCACCTCACTTTGGTAGTCTGTGTGAAATAGAATAGGTGGGAAGGCCCCCCAAGACGCACAGTACCCTATAGCAAACAAACATCTAGCAGTAATCTTGGGTTTGTCCCGCTATGGAGCAGAAGTGCAGACACTAGCATTGCTCTTGGTAAGCAAGTCTGTCCCTGGAATCCCCCCATTCATGGAATTTCATCAGAGATTGCTTGCAGTTGGTGGCTGGCTGCCTGCCAACCGGGAAGTCGACGGAGTCATTGCTGCTTCCTGGAAAGGGCAGGGATATAGGAATTATGGCAATTCCATATGGGTGCTTCACTGGTGGGGTAGGGGAAAGAGCAAGACTCCTTTGTGAAGTGTCCAACTATTAATCACAGGTGCTTCCAGTAGGCCCAAAGGATTGGGCTATAAGCAACCAACCACAAATCATATCTGTGTGAAACAAAGTCAAACTTTGCCATCCTGAATCTGAGGCAGCATGTGCATTTGTTCAGTGTCATTGCCTTTAGGCTAGGACAGAGGTCGTGCTGGTCCATCAGTATCAGGGCAGAGTGATAGCTTCACCCAGAAAAAAGGACTCCTTAAAAGAGAAAGGTAATTGGGAATACTTCCTGGGGCAGGTAATGAAGACAAATTAGAGATTCCTGTGCTTTGGTGAGGGGATTTAAGTTACTGATGCAAAAAGTAAGACTCCATGGAAAGTGTCTACACACACATTAATGCACTTTACTTAATGCACATTAAATCTTGTACCTCCATTGAGATACTAAGAAAACATGCATTAGCCTGTCTTAACTGCTTTTCAGTTAATGAGCATTAAGTGATGCTTAATGCACATTAGCCTATTTTAATATGCGTTAACAGCATGGATTTTTAGCGATGCTTTAATGCACATTAAAGTGCACATGTAGATACACCCCTTGAGATGAATGCAGGCATACAATAGAGCTTCAACTTGGGACCTTAGGGAAGGCTGATGCTAATCAAGCAGTTCTCAAGTGTCCCCAGATGACAAAAACACATCAGCAGGCCTTGACCCTACCCCATCTATGCTGCAGACTGTTCTTTAGAGGCGCTTTTTATGTTGGACAGGATACTGTGAAAGGTACTGGGGCTTCCTAAACCACCTTCCTGGCACAGAGGACTTAAATTACCTATTTGTGAGGAATGCTTTTAGTCTTGGTGCAGAAGCTAAGCTATGCCTAGTGCAACTGCTACTTGGCAGCTGAAATGAACGTTGTTTGTACCAGGATCTTTGCCTCAGTTGGTGCTGGGGATCCTGAAACTAGTAGAACTTTCAGGTTTTTCCCCTTGCCTAAATAGGAAAAACAGTGCCTAACTAGAACTGAGCAAGGGTCCTGGCCTTCACAGCAGCCCAAAGCACATAGAGACCTGGTGTTGTGTTGATGAAAAAGGGCTACTCCTTAGAGGAAATCTGATGAGAACGGGAGAGTGTGTATACTCCCACTGCCCAGATTCAGTGCAGACCCCACTACCAAGCCTTTTTGACAACTGGCTGCAGTTAATTTTCCTTTTAGCAGTCCAGGGGCCAGAAGTAGCACTGTAGCAATGTCAATCAGTCAACCTTATAATCACAACAACAAAATGACTTAAGGCATAATGCAAAAACCCGGTCCAGCATGAGACTTCAACAGCCTTAAAACCTCTACTGGACAATGTGGCATCTTCAGTAGTCTCTGGTGGTCATCAGGCACTATAGAGAAAATCCCCACCATCTTATTCCATGAAGATATGGCGATACTGAGAGCCAGTCTCCTTCCAGAAATGACTGCAGTTTTACATAAGCTAGTTCTGCACATCTTTCCCAAAGCAGTGCTCCACAAAAGGGAAGAAACTGTACTCTGCAACATTACAGAACCAATGCTGACTGTCCCCACACCTAGCTGTGGCCATGTCTACCTGCTGCAAGGGCTTGGCCATTTCACAACAGCTGGCAAGAAACTTCACCTGCCTGCCACTAACCAGTATATGTCATGTGACCAGAGAACAAACATACTTCGCCTGCTTTCCATAGTGCCACTCAGAACTTGGCCAGGCACCTATGCAAAGCAATGGGTTTAGCTACTTTACCGACTACCAGATTTGCAAGAAAAGGAATCCAACCTGTATTTGACTGATGCACCTTTGCCTGCCATCCTGAGAATGCAACCTGGCATTCAATTACACTAAGACCAAAAATAACAGTGTCTGGTGCTCAGTTGCCCATACAGATTCTATAGCCTATCCCCACTTCAGTTCTTAGTCACTCCAAACCTTTCATTACAAGGGAATGGAGGGGAGATCCACTCTTTTTAGTGTATAGGCCTGGATGCTGCTATTCAAAAGATTAGATTCCCATGTACCCATTACAGGGATGTGGTTTTAGTCACTGATAGAAGTAATCATGACCTTAGGCTCACACAGGCTAACACTTTCTGCCCTTGAACAGTCTCAAACCCAGCACAGTAATGGCTGCAAACAAAATCTCTAAATGACCTGAAGTTTACAGCTGCCTCCTTGCTAAAATAAAATCCTGAAGTCATGCAATACCTCTCTGTAGCTAGCAGGATAGATCAGATGAATGAGACAGGGTCAAACCATCTCCCCAAGGCCTTCACAGCCATGTTAATTCTTCCTCGATACCATTAAAATATTACAATCTTCCCCCTCTTTTTAAACTCCTTATGCTTTATTCTTTGCTCAGCTTGAGCAAGGGGCCACACTCCTGCTTCAGCAGGTCAGCCATATCTACAACTATCCCTTCCCGCACCAGCAACTGCTCACCTTGGGAAAGTAGTGTATTTAGCATTGCAATGTGACATTTAAAAGCTGAAAACCAGGAATGTGGACTAAAGCAGAACTTGCCAGGTACCCTTGCAAGTGCAAGGACACAAAACTTTGTACTGATTCATAATTAAGTCATAAACCAATAATATGCGACTCTTCACTTAACCCAGTTAAAATACAAATCACAGTCATTTCATTAAGTTAACCTCAGACACAAAAGTCACAGCAGCCCTTATTTTATTAGCAATTCAATAGCAACACCTTGCAGTCAACTCTTTCCTAAGGCCCACTTGCCCTTGCTATTAGTTCTCTTCAGGCACTACATGCAGCGAGAGAACAAGAACCACAGGACACTTTCGTAGCCAGCTGCTAATGGGTAGTACATCAAATTTCCTCTGTACATTGCCTGCGGCAGCTGACAACACAGTCAGGAAGACCTTTATTCTGAAGCATTTCCCTCCTCAGAGCTGTTTTAAAAAATCTGTACAGAGAACGGAGAGCACACAGTAGATGGTCCCAATGCCTCGTGTGGACTGGAAACAATCCCTGCAGGTGGCTGCAAGGAGCCCAGGCCAACAGCATAAGCTTCTGCTTCTCAGACTTGCACAGTTCAGTCAGTGGGGACAGAGTCCAGCTCATCCAGGAAGCGCTGACACTTCCCCATCAGCACCCTGATGGCTTCGCTCACCAGCACATCTGGAGGCAGGATACCAGTTGATTCCACTGAAACTGGACAGAGACACAAGGATCAGCACAGGCACCAGGTAGCAGCCTACAATTTAATCCTTCATGGCCAACACATCAGATGATGCAAAGTAAGTCAGCAAAAGGGGCACAAAATGCAGATCTATCTTCACTCCAAAGCCACCAGAAACCCATTACCTACTGGAATATGAATGTACCAGAGTTAATCTTCTGGAGGAAAAGGAACAAGAAAGATTAGAACATGCTGGCAAATCTCTGCGGCCCCCAAGCAGGATGAGAAACAATGGCGCATGCAGCAGGAGAGGGCTGTACTCTGGGGGTTGGGCTGAGGTTACTTACAGATATAGTGATTCCGCACTCGTGCCAGACGCACCATATTTTTCAGCTCCTCGTGCCGGAAGATCTCCCGGCTAAACGTGTCCAGCCGAGCATTCGCCACCCTCGCCACCTTCTTCCCTGCAAGAGGAGAAGAGGTGAAATAGGAACCTGCAGCTGGTAGGGACAAGCATTTATGCCTCATGCTACCAGACCAGCACACTGCATTCAAAACATGCAGGTCTCTGCACCTAGCTATGACACTGGAGACCTATACCAAGAACTACGTCATTTCTAATACAAGGTTCAGCGCAGGATAAGTTCCAACCGCCACCCCACCCCCAACTACTCCCCAGGCAGGGCCAGCTCAAAAAGCTCAGCTTGTCCAATATTATACCTGGGGCCAGCCAGCAACTCATAACCACTGGGAACGAGTGGCCGACAGCCTGGAGTTACAACAAGAGAGGGTTTCTGGACCCTGGAGCAGCAGGTAACAGTGCAGAGGACAGTCACAGAGCTGCGTGAAGAAGTACTTCCTGCCTTATCAAAAGTGTTAAAGGAGTAAGAGAATAGGAGGTACCAAACCAGTCACTGGATGCATCTACATGACAGCCATTCATAGGTTAACCCCAGGCCCAGGACAGAATGGAATGGCCTAAGCCGGGCTGGAGGGACATCAGAGGAGAGAATCCATCTGTGCAATGCTTGCCTCTAGCCTGCGCTCAGTCTCCCCTTAGCCAATGCTAAGGTCCTGGGGTGGGGATAGAAAGTACCTTTGATATCCTGGATTTCAATGACTCCAGGGGAGAAGCACTTTTTCAGCTTCTCAGCTGCCTCCCCCTCAATGGGTTGTAGCAAAGTGATGTCAGGCAGCAGCCGGTAACTAGCAGTGGCTACTGGAGAAAACTTAGCATGATCTTTACCTGGAAAATAAGGGAAGAAAAAGCCATGAGCCCCAGCCAAACCCTATGCAATGGTGCAGCCAGAGGAGCACTGAGGCACCATACCCCACTCAAAGGCCACAGTCCCTGCTTTACTAGCCAGGAGACAAGAGCCTGAATGAGTTGCTGGGTGTCATGAAGCTCCTCTCAGTACTGCCTTGAGCTTCTGCAAAAAATCAGGAGAAACCACTTCCATCAGAACACCTGGTAACACCCCTTCGCACAATGAAATCCTATGGGGGTCCTCCTCATGTCATTCAGAACTTCAGGCACTCACCAAGCCACCCTAGAGGAATATCTGGGCTCTTTTTCCTTCCTTCCCCACACACCCTGCATCAGGGGTACTCACACTCGTCTCACTGCCCCAGCCCATAACCCCAACTCACCGATGCCCTTGACACAGTGCATAAGCACATCGATTTCTTGGCCAGGCCGTAACTGGGCGATGAGGATGTCATCGTGAACAGGTCGAAAACATGCATCTGGGAAGAGGTCTGCCTGATTGCCTAGAGGTACCCACGTCATGTGTTTGCTGTACACTGTGGAGAAGAGAGGTCACCAATATCTAACCAAGTTGCCTCAGCACCCATGGAGAGAAGCCAACACTTCACAACAAAGGGCTGCTGTCCCAACAGCATCAGGTCTTGCCAAAAAGAAAGTTTCACAGAACTACAGGATTGGCTCTCTTCACTCTCAAGGGCAGGAAAAAAAAATTCAGGTTACATGGGGCTTACAGCAGGGTCCCCGGCAACTTGGAGGTTTACCTTTGTGATTAATATAGAGCTCATTGGGGTCAGAGGACTCCTTGGCTGCCCGAGGGTTTCGGCTGCACTTGATTTTCAACTGGAATTGGAGGGTATCAATTTCTGTGCCTTCCTCATCTCCTGGGAAGAGGAAAAACAGAGCGAGTCCCAGGCTAGGCCACCTCCTCCACCCCTTCCTGAACCTAAACCAACACAGCTCTGTGTTACCCCTTCTGAACAGTCCCCCAATGCATCCTTTTGTCCTGGTGCTGGCTCTCACCTTGGCTTCTGTACTCAAAAAGGCGAGGGTCAGCCTGGATAGGGATAAGGCCTAAGCGATGGGCCAGGATCTCATCCTGCACAATGGATGTGTTGTTATACACAAAGACTTTCTCCACAGCCATTGTCGGTACCTTAAGGAGTACAGAGAGAGCAAGTCAGTCCTTGCAGGCAGCATGCCTGCAGTGCACCCCCACCCAATATCAAGCCAGAACATTTCTGCTCCACACAGACCCCTTCTGGGGTCTAATTAACTCTTCCTGGTGCCAGCTCCTTCCCACAAGTGATCCAAATCAGTGGTTCTCAACCCTTTTAGACTCAAGCTCCCTTGAAAGACACCAGCTCTGAGTTATCATTCCTTTCTCGAGTGCAAAAAAAATACTAGAGTAATTTTTCTGTTGCAAAGAATTCAGACAGACCACAGCAGGTCGCAATGGTTTTGACACCAAGGATCCCCGTTTGTAATTACTGGTTTTACCTCACACCTTGCATGCAGGTGTTCCCACATCTAGAAAGATTTAACGGTGCTCTGGTTGAAACTTGCTGATCTAAACTAGGTTCCTCCATTTCCTTTCTCCTCTGCTTTTACTCTTCTTTTCTTGCTCTCTGTGCATCTCCTAGTTTTCTTGCGGGCCAGACTCTGCAGTCTCTTCATAACTGACTAATACCACTAGTTTCACTGTTATCCCAGGCCAGGCACAGAGATCTGTGCAAAACACTCATGAGGAAGCAGCTCCAGTGCTGCCATTAGCGGTATATGCTGGTTAATTAAACAGCTTCAGTTTGTAACACTAGGCCTGTCTTAGACCACCCTCTCTGGCTGTCTGGAGAGGAAACAATCGGATTGCTTATTTCCTCTCCAGAATATATACTTTGCATCCTCCAGCATAAACACAAGCTCAGCAGCAAATGAGTCGTCCCACAGCCCTTGACCTCCCTCTACCCCCAGCAACTTTGGCACTTCTGCCTTTTCTGCTCTAATCAGTCTTCCTCTTTTCCCAAAAGTATGACCTTATTTCTTCAAGCTGTCAACTCCCACACCTGCTCCAGCAGTGAGAACAAAACTTGATGAAAGGCAAAGGAAACTGCGACAGGGAAGGTACAAGCCTGCAGCTTCCAGCCTGCACCAACCCTGCTGTGGACCAGCTCCCTGCGGCAGCAAGGGACTGCGGGGCAGAGTCTGGGGACACGACGACTGGGTCATGAAATCATCAGGAAGTTGAACTGGAAGGGACCTCCAGAGGCCACATCTAGTCCAGCCCCTGCCTGAGGCAGGATCATTCTTGTCCACAAGAATGTCACAAGAAGCACAACCGCTACACCTGACCACCTGCAACCCTGACACAGCATAGACCTGACACCCCAGCCTGCTGCAGGTCAAGCCAGGGACCCACGAGAGCCACCGTCCTGCTTCTTCAAAATATCGAGTGGTCCTGGGCAGAGACCTGCACCCCTGCTACAGAGCAAGGCAAATCCCCCCACAACCCAAACCAATCTCGCCACGCAGCAAAATCCTTCCTGACCCCAAACCTGGTGCTCGGTCCAACCCTGAGTAGAGCCCAGCACAAGCCCCTACCTCGGCCAGCAGGATGCGGCGGAAGGCGTTGGCGATGGCCGCATCGATGCCCACCAGGTCAAACTCCAGCAACCCCTCATCCATGTTGGTCACGTCCACGCGGAAACCCTACAGCCCGCCAGGGCAGGGGGGACAGGACACCGCGGGGTCAATGGGGTGCCCCGCTGCCACCCCCAGGAGCTCGGAGGGGCCGGGGATAGGACACCCGCTCCGCCCTTGCTGCCCCCGCCCGCCTGCACACCTGGCGGAAGGTGGCCGGGTCCCAAGCGTCGGCGTGTCCCGGGTAGCTGCCGGGGAAGTCCGTGGTGTGCACCTGCGGGGCGGGCAAAAGACACGCGTGGGTCACGAGGGACACGCGTAGACCAGAGCCCCCTCCGCCCGTTGCCCCCGCCCCTCTCCCCCCTCACGTGGCGGACGCCGAACTCGCCGAGCACCACGCGACTCCGCATCTCCTCCACGCTGCCGGGCGCTGCCATCTTGCCCGCGTGACGCAAGCACGCAGCTCCTACCCGTCACGTGACGCTGGGTGGAAGTGTTACGTACCAGACCTCCGGTTCTTTGGTGGCCCCGTCTGCGCAGGCGTACTAAGAGCCCGACGTACTACTCCGCCATGCTGTGTGTGGCAGTTCCTAAGAGAGGATGCTTTTAGCTACTATTTCTATGGCACGTCCCTTGCCTTGATTCCAGAGCTGTTATGACTCACGGAGGACGTCTTCTTTGTCCGTCCGGTCTCAATTTGTGTTTCTCTTTTGTTTGCTTGAGGTGTTTTGTTTTGTTTTTTTACTTCCGCCATCACCACGATGGCGCCTAAGGGGAACTCTCGCGAGAGGGAAGCCCAGCCTCCACGTCTCCGCCAGGGTGTGCGTCACATCCGCTGCCCGAGCTGTCTCGCCGCAGCTGTCCGAAGCCCCCAGTAGCGCGGCGCGGCCCGGCGGGGCGGCAGGATGTCGGGGGCCGTCGCGGCGAGGGGCGGGGCGGCCGCGGACTGGGGCGGCTTCGAGGACACCATGCAGGTACCACGGGGGGTGGGGCATCCGGGGGGGAGGGTACTTCGCGGTATGGGGGGAAGGGTGTATTCAGGGGGGAAAGGGGTTATCTTGGGGTATTATGGTGGAGGGGGGTGTCCTAGGTCATGGGGGAGGTCATGCCAGGGGCTGGGGGTATCCTGGGCCCGGACTTGCCTGGGCCAGTGCTGACAGGAAGGCGGGGTGTGCGCAGGCTGGCGGCAGCAGCGGGTCAGCGGTGATCGACATGGAGAACATGGATGATACGTCGGGGTCGAGCTTCGAGGACATGGGCGAGATGCACCAGCGGATGAAGGAGGAGGAGGAGGAGGAGGCCGAGGCGGCGGGGGGGGAGGAGGAGGACGGCGAGTTCCTGGGCATGAAGGGCTTCCGTGGGCAGCTGGGCCGGCAGGTGGCCGATCAGGTGAGGCAGGGCTGGGTGCCATCCCACCCCCACACATGCACACACTGCTGCCTGCCTTCCCCAAGGGTGCTGGCCTTGCTGGCCCCGTGGCACACAGAGGGTGGGTGGCTGGCAGGCATGTGCCCACAGGTCCACATGTGCACACAGGCATGCTCATACATGCATATGAAGCTGCACATGCACACATGTGCGTACACGTATGTGCATTCATGCACACAGATGCACGCATGTGTACACATACCTATGGTTTCTGCCCAGCTTGCAGCCCTCTGGTTGACACTGAGACACTCCAGTTTCCCTTGCAGTTTCAGGGGATGACCAGGCAATAGTTGCACCAGGCTGGTGGTGGGAATAAGGCATGAGGTAGCCCCCCGGGAAGTCATTTCAGGGCACTTCCTGGGACCGTGGCTCCTGTCTTGCTCTCGACCAGCTGCTCTGCATCCTGGCTGCTTCCAGTCGCCTAGTGCTCCAGCTCTGGGGTAGTCCCCTGGGTGGTGGGAGGGTGGCAGCAGTGGTCAGTCTGTCTACTGCAAGTTTCCACCTCTTCCCCCCCAGATGTGGCAGGCGGGTAAGAGACAGGCCTCCAAGGCCTTCAGTCTCTACGCCAACATTGACATCCTGCGCCCCTACTTTGACGTGGAGCCCATCCAAGTTCGGAACAGGTGAGCGGGGGCGGGGAGGAGGGGGGCTGTAAATGGGCCTGTGCAGGCACCTCACCTTCCTGCCCCATCCAATGTGAAGGATGCTTTTGAAAGGCTCCCCCAGGAGAGCAGAACAGGGGCTGTCTTGTTAGAGCTGCAGTGGTGTTGGCAGAGCCACCCTCCTTAAAGTGGGAGGCTGCTCATTTTGTTTATAGGTCCTTGGTGCTGTTTCCAGACGTGAACTCAGCAGCACCTTCTAGTCTGTATAGTGTTCGTTTCCCACCTCTTCTGATGTGTGGTGAGCGATTCCCCACCTCTCTCCACCACATAACATGGCTGGTTCCACAAGGCAAAGCTTTGTGGGGTCTTCTCTGATAACCTCCTGCTGATCCCCACATCCCTTGTGGTAGCAAGTCCTTCCTTAGTTCACTGGGCTGGCAGCCGCCTTTCAGAAACTGGCTTGTGCAGTTAATTAGGATTGCAGTACAGGCTTTTTCCCTCTGGAGGCAGTGTTGCCACCAGTGCCCCAGTTGTCCTGGGAACTGGCTGGCTTGGTTGTAATGGAGGATAGGATATGGAGTCATGTATCACTAAACCACAGGTTCTAGTCTGGCCCAGGGAATGGCGGACAAGGGCTTTTCATGTTTTGGGTTTATTGTTAACCTCTTCTGTTACCTTCTTTGTTCTTGAAATCTTTGTGTACCTCTGTGTGGTGCAGGTTGCTGGAGTCCATGATCCCTGTGAAGATGATTAATTTTCCACAGGTGAGTACTTTCCCAAGGAAGCTTCCCGCACAGAAAATTAGCCTCTGTATCCCAACTGAATGGGCCATGGGCCCATGGAACACAGTTCATTCATATAAACAGGAGTGGAGATGGCAGGGTGACAAGTGCTCTATCAGTGGGCTGTGCACCTAATACTTGCTGGGAGTTCAGCACTCTTAACCAGAAGCAAAAAAAGCTATGAGAGAGACTTTATTAAACCTTTGCTTCATCTTCTATCTCTGCAGAGCTGGCACAGTTACTCAGCTCTAGCTCCTACTCCCCTCTCCAGGGACTTTTCTGAACTGCCAGTTTGCTAAAAAAAAGAAGCCAGTTAGAGATATTGCTGCCAACAGAGCTATAAACAGCCTTTGTTTTCTCTTGTATGAGAGCTGGGAACTCCAGGTCTGACACAGACTCTTTCTGTGGCCCTATGTTTTGCCTCAATCTCCCCACAGTTAATGGAGAGCTAGTGCCGAACGGGTGGCGAGTTAGTTAAAGCATTGTGTCATACGTGTGCAGCAGTCATTGTTTCATGTGAGTTGCTCGGGCACAGATTCCTGTAATGGTTCCTCAGTCAAATCTTTGGGCAGTGGGACAGAACTGACCCGGGCTCCTGTTCTGGTGCCTCACTCAGCAGCTCTGTACCCTTTCCTCAAAGACTCTTAATCAAATGGTGAGTTAGTGTTGTCCTTGTCACCAGCCTTCACAGAGTAACAGCTCAGGTCAACAAGTGGTCAGGTCACAAACTCTGTATGAGGCACCTGCTGTGTCCCTTGTTCAGTGTGATGCAGCACTTACCAAGCCCCTCCCCTGTCTGTCTCCCCCTGTAGAAGATTGCAGGTGAGCTCTACGGGCCTCTCATGCTTGTCTTCACGCTGGTGGCCATCCTTCTGCATGGGATGAAGACCTCGGACACTATCATTGTAAGAGCAAGTCTTGGTTACAGGTCAGGTTTTGCACCCAGCTGTAAGACTATGTGGAGGTGGGTGAGGGAGACTTTGTTTTGGAAGGGACTTGAGTGGGAAGCTGGTGGGAAGATCTCATTGCCTAGGGCTGGAAGATGCAGAGAGACCGATGCCCTGTTGCCCCGAGAAGCTGGCTGGTGGCAGCTCAGTGTAGTAGATTGTATAGCCTCCTCAATGTTGCCTTGTGCTGTAGCTCTTGTGCCAGGTACCAGTTGGCAGCAACAAGGGCTGGGTTCAAATTTCGGGATACCCAATAAGTTTTTACTGTGGCTCAAGTGCCCACCCAAAAATCTGGGATCGCTCAGTTGGATGGGGGTGCCCCTCATAAACAATGCCCCCTCCTCGCAAGCAGCGTAAACACGAAAGGTTAGATATATTACAATACACAAAGAAAGCACTATCAAACAGCAAGGTATAGTTTGTAGTTGCACCCCTTTGGAGAGACTCCACCCATGTCCAGGCAGTCTGGGACTTGGGGGCTCACCCAGAGGGTTAGTTCTGGAGGCCTGCACGCCTATACCTGCCACTCAGCAACAGGCTGGACAGGAGGGACCCACACCAGAGAGTCTTATGAGCTACTCCTTGGGGTTCACTGCACCTCAGGGACCCATCATTGCTCCCTGTGAGGCTGTGTAGGGTGCTGATCTCCACTTCTGCATGGTGGCTGTGAAGGGGTGACTGTGGCTCCAGTTAGCATAGTGCACCCCCAAAATTCCTAGTTCCAATCACACAGCTCTGCTGGGGCAGAGAAGATCAGGAGAAAAGCCTCATGGGCTAAGCCTATCTGCAGCAATGCCTGGCTGAGTGTTCCCTTTCATGTTGGCTCCTCTGGATGGGGGCGCTTCATTGGGGTCCTTTTTCCCAACCCCAGCTCCAGCCCACGCTTCTAGCCAGCTGCCTCTTCCTATGTGCCCGGCATGATATTACCAGGTTTTGCCATGCTTCCATGCCTTTCTCTTAACCAATTAATTTAAAAAACACTGATGATCCCTTGATTCGTACAGTAGAAAAGAGACCAGATTTTCTGGTCTCAGAACAAGTGGGGGTGGGGGGAGCCTGAAAGAAAAGGCCATAAAGCAGGGGTGGGCTTCTGCTTACTGTCCCTACAGCATGCATTTCCCCAGATCAATGCTTACAGGAGGCCTGGGGGTAGAAGGAAAGCAAGATGCAGTATTACAGCAAAATAGACACTGGTGGCATCCATGATCATAGCTAAACTAAAGTGCACTTTGCAGTACAGAAATTATACACAGCAAACATGTAAACAGCGTGCTTTGCAGTACAAACAAGAAACATAGCAACATGAAACCAGAATACGTATTGCAGTACAAAATGACTTATTCATTTTGTTGTGTTATGTTCTCCCTTCATTTTGTGTGTGTTATATTCTCCCCCCAGCCCAGAATTTGACATCCCCGCAACTCAACAACTCCTTGGTATGGGTTATTTCTAATGCTGGCATGGGACGGTAACAGGTGTCTGTGATGCAACTCTGCAGCTATTATAAGTTAGGTGCTGCACAGGCCTTCTAATTCTTACTGCCCTGGGCATGGTAGGGACAGGTGCACAGTGGCTTTCTCCTGTAGGTGACAGGAGGGTTGGAGGTCCCTCTCCGTCTATCTCAGTTAAGGGGTGGTCTGTGCCAGGCTCTAGTCAGTTCCCCCTTCCGGGAGTCTGTCCTTTCTGGGTGGCCCTCCTCCATGGGTAGTGGGGGACAGACTAACTCCCT